TCCGTTAACGTATAATGAAAATACAACTTATTATTGCACAGAGAAAGCAAAAGGATTTAGGCTATGACTTTGCCAAACTGATGTTTAGCAGAAGAGGTTCTCCTGATGGTGCGAAGTTCTAATAATCACATGTCGGAGCATACTTACGATCCGTGTTCTGGTTGTTCTGTTTCAGAAGTGTTCCCATTTATAAAATGTTACTGTCTTCAATGCACGAACAGTGCGAGATATCTCGCTTACTGGTAAATTCACATCCTCAATAGATTCCGGACATTTTCGATGGATTTTAAATCCTGACTGTAGGCTATCCGGTTCGTGGTCTTGATGTTACGATGGGCTCCACATACCATTGCGCCCTTACATTAGAAAATCATAGGTAAAGCTCGTTATGACTGCTCATGTCCGTTACGCGATGCCACGTCGTGGTTTACGTAAATAAAATGCACCTGTTGAACTGATTGGCCTCCCAATGAGATACGTCAAATAGGATCAGGTGCATTTTCGAAATTTTTATTGCGAGAACTGACAAGTTTATGAACTACGGGGGTCAAGTATATTTAAGAAGTTTTATGTGACACATGGGAAAACGAGTCTATTGATCGTCACGCTACTCAAAATTGTCCTTATCGTGAGATTTGACTGATAAAAGCGTAACGGGAATGAGAAGGTCAAATTATCGTTACATAGGGTGGGTCAAATAAAATCCAATTTTCGGGAATACTGGTTAGGCAATTTTTAGAAATGTTTTGGAAAATTATGACACAAAAGTTGAACAAGTTAAAAAATGGATCAACCAAAATAATTGGTCGGCTGTTCCGAGTTTAGCCAATAGCCTGATGCACGATTTATTTGAAAAATGCTACCTGTTAGGTTAAACCAACTGCGGGATGACAACATGTAAACTGAATAAAGCTATGAAGCAAACATTCCTCAAAACGAAGCTTCGCACTGTAGTCATCCCTTCAGGCTACTCTTGTGCTTTGAATTCAAATATACATTCCCTGTTTGTGCAGTTTCTTTCTGCGGTACTTATTCACCTTTTTTGTGGACCCGTGTGCATTGACCGCAAGAGTAGAGATTCATTTCAAGGAGTCCGTGAGCAACACCCATCCTAGCTGAATGGTGTAGCAGTGTAATTACAACCAACGGTTCGATCGTTTCTTACCCAGTGGAGTAAACCACGAGGTTAATGCGACCGAGGTATTTCGCCTCCTCTATTCCGCTCGGGGTCATCGATCAGAGGGGATTACATTTTGGTCACAGAGGAAGCGATCGTATTTCGCCTATCTAATTCCCCTCTCCCATGCTTCCCACAACAGCTCGCAAGAACACCCAGCATTCCATGACCATCACAACACACGACAGTCATCTTTCCGTGCCTTCAAATTTGTCTGCACTATCGACAAAGAGCGAGCATAATCATGCCGCCGAACTGTCAATGTAGTTTTATTCTTCTTCTCATTCTGTAACGAACCTATTTCCATAAAACATTGTGACGCACCGGTCTTGCAAATTGGGATAACGATATATTCAGACAATTTTGGAATCTCCGTTACTTTTATTCTGTATCATATTGTGCTATCAAATGCATTTTTGATAAAAAATCTGGTGGTTACAAAGGGACACGAAAAACACGACAGTTTAGTGACGTAAGCGTATAGGCTGCAGTTGTTTCGACAACTCCAAGAAATTCATTTTCTCGATTCCGGTTTGAGTGCTGTGGTTAGTGTAGAATTCGAAGACATGGGTCTGAATTTGAAAGTTCTATACTGTCCTATAGTAGGACTACTGTCCTTGTAGTCAGACCTTTGTTGTTTAACACCTGTCTTAGAGTGCATTTACATTCAAAAAAGTCCATTCTCTTTTCACAGAGTTGTCACAAAGTAAAAAAATAACGAAATATCCGTCCCTATAGCCCTCCGCTTTTCGCGTGAAGCCAGCCATTACCAAGGAAAGGATGACGCGGACTGGGTTCTTTGAATGGTTTTATGTACTCGAAAAATATGTGTTGGTTTTCCTAGTACTTTCGATATTCAAACGATATATTTCTCAGATTTTCACACATCGACGGCCTGATACATCGCTGCCTAGTCCTTTAAATGACAGATAACGAATGTTTCTACCTCTCCGTGAATGCAGGCCTACTAAGTTGTAGACGTTTATAGGTGTACATGGTAGTTAAATGAGTAGGTTCCACGGAGGTCAGATCGTCTCGTTGTACCTCGGGAACGTTGAGCGCAGGTGGTTATGTTTTTGGATAGACTTCTGTGTGTGCCAATTGTTCTGGTGAAGCGGGCATTTCAGTTTTGTTAACCCACGGTGTGTGCCCAAATAAAAATTTTGAATGAGGACCTTTTCACTTGCCCATATGTACACAGGCGCACACCATACAGTTAAAATATTGGCTGATTGTAGGAATATTTTAATGCTCGAAATATTTATGGAACAGCAATTTATGTCGCACTCGCTACAAGCCACTGGAATCTTCCGACATTGAGGGGCAAGAAGAATGTAACGACCATAGCGGTTAGTTTGTTGAGACAAATCAAACCAACCTTCCAAGTACAAGCAAACATTATTATTTGCAAAAGCATCAACCAGTCCAATTTCCTGTTCTTCTGATCATGGTACTCCCGAATAAGTCACAGCTAATATGATTGGTTCAAAGTACAGGCCTACTTTTAGCCATCATGTAACTTGACCTGGCGTTATCACATAGTTCTAGATCCCTACAGGTTTCCAGTTGTCTTATTTATGATATATGAAGTAGGATTCATCAAATATATGCAGCCACACAAAATCTCAGAATGAAGAGGTTGTTTGATATCAGTGTGACCTTACAGATTACTGTCACTAAGAATGACGACAACCACTCGGCCAAAAACGATAACGGGTTCATCAGGCTCTATGGTAATACTGAAAGCCAAACCGGAAGCCACTAATAGCATCATTTCTTTCGAAGTCAGATATGTGAAAAGTGTTGTAGAGGGAGGCTTCATCTGTCGATCACCATGAATTAAGTGCACTTGTGTCTTTTAAGCACATTCATCACACTGATCGGAAATCAGTTTTCAAATATTCATTTGCTTCGACCAGGAAATCTGCGCTAACCAACATTCAATGACCGAAAACTTACAGCGAGAAATATGGTCGCGTACATTGTTACTGCGGCACTCAGTGAAGGAAATGATGTCCTGTTGAGAGGAGAAAAGTGCAGAAATAGAGTGATTTTCGCTTTAAGAAGGAGCAGATTAGCAAATAATTTGTTCTGCTGATAACCATGGTTTCTAGTCCGTGGATAAAAATGAAGCAGAAGCTGCTTTGGTGATAACGTCAAAGAAATATTCTGAGGTGAATGTTCATCTTTTGCAAACCGCATGCATACAGAGATGAAGGTACACACATTGATAACCAAAAGGCTTTAAGGTATACTATGCCTGTTCATACAAGGTATGCAATGGAATAGTATCAAATTTTAATCCAACCTCCGCTTGAATCTACTTTACATTGTACATGTAAAGTGGTCATGTGGCAGGAAATCACTTGTTCAGTCAGTCTGATGAGGAATCTCGTTCATAAACACATGAAAGAAAACGACGGGGGGGGGGAGATCGGCTGAGTTAATTTGTGCTGATAACGATGTACAGCGTTTCAGTCATCACGGATTCGAGCAACAGAGCGAATCCTTTGGCCCAAACGAGAATTCCCATTCATCAAGTCAGATGCGCCTTTATGATGAAGTCATGCTTCATTACCCCCGTTTCATTGACTATGTTTCTGTACGGGAACTTCCACTTTGAGATATATATGATATATGCAGATATTGATTGAACTTCATGACCTCCACCAGATCAATTTCTTGAATTCCTAAGATTTTGAGCCCCATACAGAGGAGTGAATATGGTATTACCGTACAACCCACACACTATTTCCATTTTATTATCCATCTATTTGTACGCTTTCTAGATTTCGACGACGGTTGGAGTTGCACCACTTGCAGGTTAAGCAAGTGTCAGTAGAAAATCATAGTAAGAATATGTGTGGAGGTGGTGTGGGTGGTGTGGGAGGCGATAAGATCTGATCCATGAAATCGATAAGGAAAAGCAATCTTGGTACTTATTCCCTTGGAATGCGAACATACGAATCCAACAGTACCATTCTTATTTAAAGTTTACATATTTTTTTCTCTGTGTATACAATTCTCATCTGTTACTGACTATTGCCGTGTGCATCGGCTTCCAAGTATCTATACTACACTCATAAACTTGGTGATTTCAATTTCTCTCCTGCTTNTTGGAAATTTGAGTATGGAAACTCTGTTCATAAATGATTTTAAAGCTTAGGAACCCCTAAGTTGGCTACTTCCCGCCCTCTGTTTGCACAAGTCACCCATCGTTATCTTTCCCCCAACAGGTGCAATGCCATTAACCTTAGGCAAAGAAGATAACAACCTTTTCGGTCGACAAAATAAACCACCACCTCCATAACCGATTCTAAATTGCCTTGATACCGAGATCGAGAAAATCATCCATTTTATGATCAACTTACCTGGCATACTTCATACGAAGCACATTTTTCTCCGTACAATCGGCGTCCGAATAAATTCCCTCTTCCGCATACCCCGTACCCATCACATTCGGAGTCGGTGTGGTGGTTCTAGGTACGAGGTAAAATCCGCGACGTGCCGATTCTTGTGCGAGAAAATTCAACAGCTGTGGATCATTGGTAAACGTGTTTGGATCGTTTAGGTCGAATCCATACCCGGCAGCACGAAGCAGAGTAGCCCAACGGGGACACACGTTCGGTGAGGGACGACAAATTTTGATGAATTCCGGTCTCAGACGACCGATAGCGGCTTGCAAGATAAGAGTGAGTAGCATGACAACAAGTAAACCAAACGCATATGTCACTGTAAATGGAGGGGGCGGAAATAGGGGGAGGGTTAGAGGCTTGGTGAGTATGTGATGGCTACGGCATTGAGGTTATATACATCTTTGAACTTGATATTTCATTACTTCGGATTATCAATCATGAGTCAAAAAGCTGGTAAGATTTGGACAATTATTTCGACAATTCCATCACAGTTTGGGGGATTGGTCTCGAGACCTCACATGTAGAACGCGCGTACTACCTACTCAACCCAGGTTCCATCCTCGGTTGTGTCAAAGAATGCGCACTGCTGATGAGAGCCAACCAGGTGGAAAAAGCTGCCCAGTGTTTTCCTGCTTTGCAGCTCACGCTTCGCTTACTCCTCCGCTACTCTCATACAACAATTATCAAAAAAGCCCGTAATGGCTATCAAAGTGTTAAGCTCCACAACTGTATTGGTGCGCAGCTCAGTCAAGGTCAATGACTATGGAATGAATTGGTAGCACACACGGGGGGTGTGCAAGACAGAAACAATGAAAATGTGGACGGTGAAGAGGAGCAGGTGATTAGCTAAACAGTGAAGGTGATACGGGTGACGGTTGAAAGGGAAACAGTTGACCCAATCGTTTACTCAATGCAGATGAACGAAGTCTCATAATAAGTGGGTGGCGGCAGTGATAGGAGATGCGACTCGAATCAGGAGGTAAAGGGAGATTGTAGCAGAAATGGAAAAAAACGTTTGGGAACTCATCGGGAGTGAAGGTGAGTGCAGTTGGGCAGTGCAGCAGATTCATCAGATCGAAAACACACTGGTAAGTAGAGAATTCAACTGTGGGTCATTTGCACTTTTATCCGGAAAAGCTGTGCCAAATAGCAATTTCTGATCGCAACTCACAAACTCATTTATCTCCATCCACCATTCTGAATAGTCTGTGAATCTGGCTAGAAGGGTCAACAATTTCTTTAATCATTTCGCTGGCGTGAAAATGTGGTCGCAGTGGCATCAGGTTACGCAAACAAACCGAACAAGAATGTCGGAATCGTAAATGTAGTATGTTTCCATTGTAAGTCGTTGGATCCATTGTACTCAGTCGACATTATGTTTTTCTCTTCTTCCCTTTTTGAAAACAGAAGGCGTCCCCATCTGATCAAAATTAAATCTTAACTCAATGATGAGTATGTTGGTGAAGTGCGCTCAAATCAGTGTTGATATTCCATAAGTTTTAGCCAACCACATCGCTACACCTATGAAAAGCTATATGTGTGGAATGAACGACTATGGGCAGTACGCGTTGTCGGGATGGATACCTGTGCGAACGATGTGTAGTCAGATTAGGGTATAAGAGCTGGTGTTTGAAGCCACAACTATTTTTACATTGTTCCTCAACTCGGCTATGGTCACTGTTTTTTTCTGACTCCATGTGTTCACTTCTGAACAGACCCCGTTTGAAAAATGTGTTGTTTACATTTTTTCATGGACGAATCGGCTGATTTATATGTTGGCAGAATGAGGGGTTCCAAAGATTTACCCTAGAACTCAGACCTGATGCGCTTACCCAGACCGAATGCACATTGTCCCCACCTGTTAACCTTAGGACTGCGAATTATGTTTCACACCCAGCTAGAGGTCAAAAAACGTCTTACCACTTTCCCGACCGGATATACAGATGATTCAAAGGGAGGGATAGGAGTGAAAAGGTCTGTGAGTTATTGTAGTATTTTGTCATTTGACACAACGTAGCCGGATAATAGTACAACTGAATCAACGCTGAATTTTCTCTTCCGTAGTGTGTCCCCGAACTGCTCAATCGCCGGGTAATTTAATTCACCTGCGGAAATATTTTACCCCCGTTGCAAATTTGTGCATGGATTTATGTGGGCATGAGAATCAAGGGGAAGTACATTCACGAAATACGCATGCGGAACACAAATCGTCACAATAAATGATGACCATCCTCTTGGATTATCTAGTACAACTCGTGGTACGATAGTCGCCAGTGTGGGTTTTCACATGTCTCCTTATGCAACACACTTCCTCTCAACTGACGGCAATCTTGAGGCACACTTTTTCAAAAAAGTACGTTACACGTCGCATTTTCTAAAATGTCAGAAAGTACTTTTTAGAGTTGGGTGTGAAGATGGTTTCGGTTTCAAATCAATCTTAAGTTACAAACAAGGAGGTGATGTGATTAGGAACCCTTCAATATCCACATCCAAACAGGATACTAAATTTATCAGATGGAGGATGTATTCGGTAAGTATCAGACTCGTGTTTCTCTTTTTATTTAAATCATCACGAGTACGAACTACAAACAGTCTCAAAAAGGGCTTGTTCCACCAATCTCCACAGGTCTGGTCTTTCTTGCAAGTTCAGTAACCGCTCTCCAAATACATCTACCAGTGTAGGTCGCATTTCCATTTTGAGCTCACTGCCATTTATGAGTAATACATATGATCAACTGAGGATCTTTCGCGGAGTTTGTTGTTTCCAGGGCTTATGAATCTACTGAGTGATTTGAGGATTGTGAGTAAAGAATACCCAGTTAACATCAATGTAGTACGTTTCCGGACTTTGTGGCCATTAGGCCCAAGGTGTGTCGAATTACTTCATTTCTACCTCATTAATACCTAGTAGTCCGGGTTCATATATTCCTTCACTATAGCAACTTCAGTTCCCTCGGGTACTAAGTCGTCGGCCAAATGATGGATCGGTTTAAAAGAGGTTTTTATCTTCGGTCCTTGATTGTCCATTCATGCTGATTCATTGCGGTAACCCAGTAACAGAATGCCCCATTTCGACTATCAATCGGATTCCGGTTTAATATTCACATGTTTATCGGAATAAGTGCTAGAAGACTAAATGCTTTTGTTCCAAACTATCTTTGTCTGGATTTGTGCCACCCTCTACCACAGGAGTCGGTCAGATGGGCATGAAACCAACCACAAAAAATTGATAAGATGCGCTTCAAAACAAAAAGGTTTGCACAAAACGTATTCTAGTTATGGGGCCCTCCATGTCTTAGAACCTCGTTGATTCAGCAAGGCTATTCTAAATAAATGCATGAATTAAAAAGGATCATTTATGTAAATTGCTCCTATGAGTAGAATGTAGAAACGGGGCATTTTGTATCACATCTTTACACAGCGCTGGTCAGGAGGATCAACCGAAAACAACGAGCTCTCTAAACTAATTTGTTTCTCCTTTTTAACGAAATGATTTTTACAAGAAAAAATGCAGATTAACTTGTCCATATTTCTGACCAATCAAGAACAGTTTTGACAACGGCACAATGAAGACCAACTAACAGAACAACTCGCAAATCTATAAGTATCCTTTAGAAGCTGCCAGCAAACTATTTTGTCAATTGGAGCAATTAGGAAAGCGAAGAAAATTTTGACAGCACCATGTCTCAGAAAATACCACGCTCGATCCCCTGTCACGTGGTCTACCTGAATCTTTTTTTTCAACCACACGCGCAAATACACTATAAAATCGTGCGCGATTCCACCGTTGATTGTGACAAAAACACATCTTACCAAGCAATCGATACAAGCGACCAATCAACCGTCGGAGTTGACCGGCCTGTTTTGCCTGTCTGTCCGCCCCGAACGGACTGCAGCAGGTCAGGCAGGATGTGGCCAATTCGATAACGAGAATCTGCAACAGAGGTGACGTGGGATCCCAGTGAGTGAGTAGACAGTACGACCGGATTAGAGTGAATCCGTATTGGAGGGGGCCGAGTGGGAGAGAGATGAGCGGACGGAAAAGGAACGAGTGAATCAATACACAGATGAATGCGCTTGTGAGTAGAGGAACGATTGAACAAGTTAAAATAGAGCAGGGAAGATGTAGTGTAGCATGTGAGTAAACGAGCGAATGAACCAGAAATTAGAAAAGCTGCACAATGACAAAATAAAAGTATCGAACTTCCAAAATTATGTCATTGGAGAAATTAACCTTGTGCTAATTTGTTTTGGCCAGAATACAGCTCAGAATAAGCGCTCTGTGGATAGGTATTCAAAATTAAATACCTAAATGAGTTTCAGAAAATCAAGTAGATGATTTAGGGACTGTAAGATGGGAGGACGTCATCTGGAAATCTTTTGAGGGTATCAAAAATTTATCATTGGAACATATGATTGAATCCGAACAACCCATCTTACTGCGCTAATGTTCAGGCGAATAAAATACTACTTGGTCAAAGGATGTCCATTATATATATGAAGCAAAGCAAATGTGAGCTGTTTGCATCCCAAAGAAATTAGTACCAGTACTTTGGGCGTTCCATTTGTTCTCACTGAAGCGACAAATTAATACCCGCAGACTTGTTTCACGTTGATACAATCGAGGATATATCCCATCTACGTGACTGTAACCGGTGGTTCCCTATCAATCGGTAATCACCACAGAATTTCTCTCCTGCGCACGGTTTGCAGTTGCAGCTTGTTCTGCATCGTGAGTTCTGCAACCGACAAGCCTTTACCAGAATGCCTTATCTGGATTGTTTACACCTCGTGGTCATCCGATTGTACTCGGGACCCTTACTACATGATGGTTTCACGGTCAAGTTTGATCAAGTATTCGACAAAACCTTTGAGACTNGAGACTAATTAGGAAGAACTTCATTAAATAAATGAAACGTTTTTTTTAATTTGATGGGCAGTTTGAGAGATACTCGCTGGAGTACCGCGGAAGTCGCGTGTAAAAATGAATGGAAGAATGTAGCACGGAATTCACTAACTCCCTGTTGAACAGTCAACAATCAAACTACTAAAATAACCTTGACGTTTATGAATTGGAGGAGGAATTCGTTGACAAAACAGGGTATCCGTTTTCATTTATACAAAAGAGAAACCTCATTCAATGCCTTGTCTCGTGTGCACGGAAAATATGTTCCGAATCCACGTTCGCAGACGACCTTGATCAGATTAAAAACATTCTAAAGGAAAACGGATACCCTGAAAAGGTTCATCGAGAAAAATTTAGTAGAAAAAATGAAACACTAGCCTGTTCGTGAAGCTCCGATTAAGCAACTAATCATTAAACTGCCATTCAAAGGAAACGACCTGTCTGATCCGATTAGGAGACTTTTAGCGCGTGATGTGAGAGTAACCTTCAATCCCGCCAGGTTGTCATGCGTATTCACTGGTTCACCAATAATAAGAACACCCAATACCTATGCTGGCCTCATCTATGGCTATATATTCCTTCAGCTGAGTTTGTAATGCAACTTACACTGGCCGAACGGCGAGGCAGCTGTCTCAGCGGATTAAAGAGCACTGCCCATGTTGGCTTCAACCCGGTGGAAAAGGTGTCACAGGAAGCACTATCCTCGATCGCCTAGCAGAATCAGGGCACCAAGTGAAGCCTGGATCAGCCTTCAAAATCATCAATCGACTACCACCTCAGCCATCCAAGTCCCTGCGTCTCCACACCTTAACCGCTGCGGAAGCGATAGGCATTCGTTTATTCAAACCCAATCTACCGTGGCCGAAGATCGATCGCACAGACGATGCATCACAGTTTGAATGCAGTGTTGTGGTGAAACACGTCGCACCACCCTTCCCCCACCCCACCCTATTTTTCTCTCTTTCAATCAACCACCGTGACGTTTGAATGACTGAATGACTATCCCCGTTCAAAATACCATTTTCCTGTTTGATGTGTATAGGCCAGAAGTTGAATCAATGAAAAGAATTCCTCGCCTCTAAATTTGTGTTCTGAATCCTTTGACTATGTGAGCACGCACAGTGAAGTTTTGGAATTCTATTGGTCAATCGGACAAATAAAAAGGTTTTTATACGCATTCAAATAAAAAAAAACTTATTGGATTAATACAAGTGATGTGAATTGGACGGTTTCACACCGAATCACATTATGCAGGTTTGTAGTCAGGTGCTTGTTTACAAGCTTGCAACGATGGGCTGTTCTATTTACGGGATAATTCAAGTGGAGATCTCTCACTGTTTGCCCGGCCGGGGAACCTAGTTCCCGGGTTCGACAATGGGGTAGATGGATTCGTATTTTTGATATAAACCGTCACAGAAGAGACCGCTGAATTGTTTTTCCTATGTTCTCGTTTCTTTTATTCTTCTACTTTTTGGAAAGGGCTGTTTGTTGCTTTTATACCCCTTATACAACTCATTGATGGAATCCGACTGGGTTTTGTGTGGGAGGGGAACATTAGTGTCCATTTGTGTGTCTGTGTGATAGCATGTTAATGGCTCCGTCTCCCTCCTTCTCCCTTTAAGTTTGCATGCATGTGGAGTTACGTTGTTGTTGAGTCTGATTACTCCCACCATTCCATCCATGTAGTTCACCAATTTATCACGGTTTGATGCTCAAGAATGTGACTGTGTCAATGAGAAAAATTACCTTCCAGTAAGTTGGAAACGTCGTCCGTATTCCCATCTATCTTTGTTACATAATCATCCTGAGTATTATCACTAACCCCTTTCGGTAAACCGCAAAATATTAGCATGCTTCATAAGGTATAATGCATTACGCTAATAGTTCAGAATTTTACCACATTCTCACTTAGGATTCACTGGTATGATTTTACTGACAAGAATAATTAGGGCAGTGGTGTGGGGAACGAGATGGGATCTTCATTTGGTCCTCTGTTTTCCGATGCATTTCGGACCAGTTTCGGACAATGAAACACGCAACCCACGAAGTTTCAGATAGTGGATTCAATATGATTGTTATGAATGAAAGATGAGAGGAACATCCGCATTGCTTCATTCAACCTCTCAACGATGAGTGGCTTTGTGGGAAATTGGTGGTGGAATATTCAGGCTTATGTGGAGGAACCGGTAAGCAGTCAGCTAGAAAGTTCTGAAAGTTCTGTGGAGGCACTCTTCGATAGGAAAGTAACGCACCCTAGTTAATAACTATCTTTGAAAAGCCATGCACAATAAATGTGGAGCAAAGCATTCTTTTTGATGAAGATTCTACAACAATTGAGAACATATATACAATCTCAAACTCGGCACGGTTGTTTTTGCTTCATTAGAATGTGTTAAGCAGGAGATATGAAGAGGGGAAAATCGATTGCGTTCCGCAAATCTGATCGATTATGCAAAAAAAACAGCTTTGTGATCCTTTATAATGATTGGACCTAATAATGATCATGTTAAGTAATACGTTGAGAACAATTCAAGGCATGCAAAAGTAGCTTTTGTTTGGATAACAGGTTGACCGATTGAGTTGATAAAATCTTTTGTTTTATACAAAGCGCTAGGCCTTATTTCCTTCTGTAAGTTTGCTGGAGCTGTGTAGATGGCCCAAAACTATCTCCATTGAGTGTCGTCTGAGCGAATGAGTTCTGTAGTGCTTTCAGTCATACTGAGCAATGCTTCTAATATTGTTCTAATCAAGTGGTATAACAATTTGCTCTGAGGACACATGTATACTTGTAGATGTTCGGGGAATTGAATGACAGTTGAAGTTGACCACTAAGACTTTAAGTCAAACCCAGTTAGACTGAGTTAATCACTTTCCGTTGAGGACCGTTGAAAAAGAAAATAATCTTCAAAAACGCTCACAAACGCTGTGTCTAGGAAAGAATCAAGTGGAGAAGATTTTATTTATGGAGAAGGCGCAGAGTTCTTTTTGTGGAGTCTGTGATTGTTGGACGAGCGTCTCAGAGTTACCATAGCTTTTGGTGTTGCAAAAATGAATGTAACGCATTTTCGAATTCATGAAGAAAACATAACTCTTGGATTTGATGCGCCGAATGACAACTCAACTAGCTTTTGAGTAGAGTGTGTTTCTATGTTTCTGTGATCCAGTGTGTAAGCTGATCTAAACGGTGACCTAGAGATTCCGAGTTCGAATTCTACCACTGGCGACTGCCCTCTCTATTTATGTATTTCCACTGGCAACCCTTTAAAAAACTGACTGTAAATTTGTGTGCTCATAAATGAAGTAAAACGTTTGCTTATTTATTTTATTATTTATCTACTTTCCTTGAAATTTATGTGTCACAACCGGATACCTCTTTTCTTTTTTTGACCTCACCGTACGCAAGGAAGGTTAGGTGTGCCTTTGGCTACTGTGCTTACTGCAACATCATTATCTACGCTACAACAACGGCTGGCCATATATAGAAATGTTCAACGCGACTCAAAGAACTGAGTGATGGAAGAACATAACAACTGTTCATTCAGAGAAGAACTATCTATAGATCGGCAATTTGATTTACGACTCAGAGGCGTATTTCTGTATCCCCAATATCTGTCTACGAACTTTCGTTTGTTCGGATGAAACAAGATATATTACCCTCACAAACAAGTTATTTCCATATATAGCACACACTTAAGAGGAGATAAGTGAAGTTCATGTGAGATTTGAGACAGATTACATATCATCTTTGTTTTCAAACGCCAACAAATTCGTCCTGATCGTGATTCGATAATGTGATTAACCGGTGCAATCTACATTAGAAGTTCAAATGACTTTCTGATGTCGCAGAATCCGTAGACGTATGTTTGGGTGTCGTTAGTGTGAATATGCCGTTTAATGCTTCACCAAAGTTAACTGTCGTCGTAGGTTGATGGTTCACTAGGTTATAATGATACCTGCATATTAATGGCCAGATGGACTTCGAAGTTCGAAGTAACAGTTTACTATTCTCGATGATCGAACCATGATGTTATAGTGATGTGATACAAACTGCCAAAATTTTCAGTGGTCAGTGTCCCAAAAACCTTGATTCTAATCCAAGTGAAGTGTACTAATATATGATCGAGGAAATTGTTTCTACGACCAGCTGGCTACCTTTGACGCATGCGCTATGCTATCTCTTTTGTCCTATTTACAAGCGAACGGGAAACTTACCCATCTGTATCAATACATACGTCTTGAATTAACCTACCTTGCCAGTAATACGGCGGGAAATCTGCAATGTGCAAACTACGACCAGAGCGCAGCGCGTATTCACAAAATCGACCGGGGATAGCCTTGGCCTGATAACCTATGTAGTCATTTCAGGTCGAGTAGACCATACTGTTGAGTCGGATAATAGTCTTCCGATTACGAAGCATGAGTAAATGATTTGAGTGATGGTACACCGGCTACAGTTAATGAAGATGCGCTAACTGAATTCGAAAACATACAATATGATATTTCCTGCGAACCACTGACTGTTATTTCAGCCAATAAAATACTTTCTTAAGAATAAATGAACCCGTGGGGAACAATTAAATTTGAAACGGTTCATCATTGTACAGATTTTATGAACACTTTCCGGAAACTAGGACACAATTGAGATTCAGCTTTTTAAAAATAGAGTGCTCCCATTGGGCTAGAGTGAAACCGAGTGACTTGGCTAAGTAAACGAGAATAAACATACCACGGCCAGAGGTAGAATTATGCAACCAAGGATAATTGAGCCGGTTGCCACATCGGAATAAGGTGCGGTGGGATTGGAAGTCAGCCAGCTTTCTCGACCGCTTCGACCCCAGGAGGATTTTGTGTGCTCATCTCTTGGTCCGTAGAGACGTGTCGTAGTCAATCCGTATGCCATTTCCGGTCGAAAAGGTTGAACTTGCGGCGGAGGCATAATACCTAGGTCAGCATCCCAAGCCTCTGGTTGGGCAAATCCGTTGAGTGTGTGCATTCCCTGCAGAGTGCGAGGTTGCTGTTCTTGCGGAAACTGGTTGGGTTGAATTTGCCCGGGATAACCACTGGGATGCATTCTGTAAGTGGGAGTGGTAGGCCCAAGCGGTGGTTGAAGTTGGCTGATGTACTGACGCAATAGGGGATTGGCTGTGTCCAATTTTGTCTCATCATGTCCAGGCGGTAAAGCTGGGCATCGGAATGTGCGATGATGAAGTGGTATCCAATCGGACCATCTTGAGAATTTGATAATAAAAAGAAGATAAATAAATGATTATTTTATTCATATTAAATATTCTTGACTAGAACGGGCTTCATTAGTTGTGATACCTTTCCATACGCTTAACAATAAACAACAAAGAACGCCATTCAATGCATATAAATCACCGGTGATATCGGTTGTTACCGTTACTCAAGTTCATCACAGTTTACCGTTTAGAAGACTTTCACTCATCAAATTTTTTGTTGCACATCGTAGATGATTTACCTAAGGAATATCCGTCACATATCACGTTATCGTATTGAAGTGTTATGTGGTTTGCTGGTTCCACAACGCAGAGTAGGAGGTTCTGGGGATTATGGACTTCCCCTCAACCTAGTGATCCATTACAATATGATGTGCTACAACAGCGATTATCTGCAAACTAATTTTTTGTAGACCTCCCAATATAAGCTCATTAAATGTGCTAGTTTGATTAAATCAAAGCAAGCAGTCTGTGTTCATACTGATGCAGACAAAACGACAGAACATCAGCGGTATACAATGTTTCAACAAAAGGCACTGTGCCAAGTTATTCTACTTGAAATTATAATCAAACAACTATTGTTCTTAAAAATTGCCTGATTGGATCTCCTTGTCCAATTTTCATTACATAATATCTTCACTTATTAACTAACTGGGTATTCGGTCCTCATAAACGTAGATTCAATTTGACTGATGTCCTCAAACTGTTGCTCGTTTCGCTGAAAGATTACCGTCACACTGGAGAGGCAATATGAACTTCTTGTAAACTGGGCAGAGTCAATTCCCGTTCGACGAATTCCGTGTATACCAGTTCCTTCCCCTCTCAGTGACCGAACCTTGCAACGTACAAACACCATCTTATTGTATTTTAAAATGCCTATATTTTTACAGAGTTAAAAAAGTATACGTTCGAATGCATTTCATGCTTTCATGAAGAAATCAGATTTTCTGATCCCGTCGGTTTTACTGATTCCTGAACAAAGAAGTTTGTTCGTCAAAAAGAAGTTAACTGCCATAATGCAATACATAATTTTCAATCAAGGTGATGCTACTCAACCAAACCATCAAATCCATGAGTTCACTTTTCTGATGATAAGATTAAAAAACTGTACCAATTTATCGTGACACTATCCAAGTTGAAAGGAATAACAAAATTTGTTAATCATGGTTATTTAGCGATCAAATGGTGATCGTTAAATCTGTCAAGGAAGATGCGCTTTATCTTGACCGATTGAGGTTCTTTTTTCTTTTCTTGTTCTTCCCTTTGTTGAATGATACAAAGATACAATTTTCAGGAAGGTGGAAGCGGCCAATTAAAGGGCTGCCATCCAACACACAAATGGGGAAAGTCAGACATTGGTAGCGGGATTCGAGCAGTCGTCCTCCGGGATGATATTTTGGTGACGTTACCACCGGGCCATCACCACCCAGTTCAGTTGAAATGGATTGGACCGTCACACTGAATGGTCAGCACATCCGCTAAAACGACTGTGAAAGTAGTTGGTAACAAACGAGGACACTTTGATGTGTTTTCCAGGCTACATCCAGGTAAAAATGAGCTGCGTAATTTAAGATTAAGGACCATAAATCGTTGTAACAATAATAACTGTCCAGGTGTTAACTTGTTTTATTCGCTGTGATTCTGACACTGATAGTGAAGCTTTCGCAAGCACACCAGGGCAGAGAAAATTAAGATCATTTGCTCAAATCTGTTCGTGTGTTCGCAATCACGCATCGAGAAGTAAAATCGAAACAAAAGCGCACACATTGAGGGAAAGTTATGAAGTTGAATGGACAAAGCATTATTCGGAAAATTTCAACATTGGCTTGCTAGAAAACGATTCGATGATATTATTATTCAACTTCCAGGCACGCCTAGTCCAGAAAGCAAGCAGAATCGGTCTTTTCATTTCGAACCTAATGCTTTGAATCCTTCATTGATCAAAAAGTGGTAATTAAAAAAAATTACTTTGATGTGCATCTTCTTCGATTGGATTGTTGTAGTCAGCAGGTACGATATGCCATTTGTATTTACAGTGCGAAGAGTTCAACTAAGCTGGTCCCATATTCGCCATATTAGAGTAGAAATAACATCGGATTCTGCTTTATTAGTTGGGCTGCGGTGTATCACTGGGTGAATAAAACATGGTCATTAGTTTATTTACGTCCGTTGGGGTGCATATTCTTCCTTGTTTTCGACAATCTGCTCATGTATCGTATTTATGTTTTTTGGTAGATTGAGATTTGTCTTTTGTTAGTTCATGTCTTCCTAAGAAAACTGTACTTTCTTGCTTTGTGACAAAGAGGCTAGTAAATCTTCAAAAATGTGTAACACCCGATTCTCGAGACTTACAGGTTTGTGCATATAGCATGAATACGTCGATCCATGTAGAGCTGACCCTCCGAGGAACAACTGCACCAAAGCACGATGAGCATCAGGCGAGCGAATGAGCCGGAAGAGAAAGAGAGAGGAGACACGTGAGAAAAGTTATTCTGTTCAATAAAGTTTTGTTTGTCATGGTAAATTCCAGAACTATAAAACTGTTCCCATGGTAGATCGCTCGATATAAAAGGGGCTTAGACAAAACGAGAAATTCGAACAACAAATAGACCGAAGATCTCAGAAGACTGTCCGTTGTGCAGAATGCAATTTGAATGTGGATGGATGTGATGGAAAACATTATGTTCATTTATGTTCTCAATACTGGGTTGGTGTTCCACAGACTGAACACACTCAGTCCGCTGATGATTATTTTATTTACTGAAGGGACATGAGCTTCTCTTTGAGTACAGAAAAAGTGCTCACAGTTATATAAACAACTAGTATTAGGCATTCGAAATGTTCATTCACAATGTTGAGGAGAAGTTTTCCCCTTGCCACAATTACATGGGACCATTTTCTCTTTGTATCGGAAAATCCTACAATGATCCATTGGAAAATTTCATTTCACCCACTGCGGTTTAACAAGAACAATTGAAACGACCCTTCCGAAATAAAAGCTTATCCCTCCGTCACTAATTTCGATAAACCGCTGCTACTAATTGGATGGTGAACAGAGTCAGGTTTGATTTTCGCATCTGCTTTTCATCTCTAATGCTTTTCAATTAGTCTACATCACTGCAATAGCTGCCCACTAACGCCGCTCATTAGGGCAAAGATAATCGGTGATAAAACGCAACCGCCTCCCTAAAAGTTGTTTGTACTGTGGTATATTCAGTCATAAGGAGAGGAGTAAGATACCGCTGAAAAAATACTGGTTCCAATCCGGTTGTTAAAATCCATTAATAGTTAATTGTGCCATTGGAGCATTAGGAAGACCAATCCTCTATGGTATATCCGAAATACCATTTGAATTCTAAGTCGCTTGTAACAGAATTCAACAACACACCAATGGATGTAAGTCGACCAACGGATATCGTTATCTATCGTGCCTCCAAGATAATTCAGACAAGGCAATTTCAAGTGCTTGTGGTTTGTGATTATACGGTGTGCAAAACAGGACTATCATGAAAATTATTTAAACAGTGGACGCAATTTGTGACTGTTGACAAAAAAAATTGAAAATCGGTTCTCGTAGCTTGGGTGAACTGAATTCCATTTCCATTTTGAATTGAATATGATGAGTTGGAGGGAATGTGGAGGAAAATCTAAATTCGAGATACCTTGGCAGGTGGAGAGGAATGAAGGAAAATATATGCACACAGCACAATATCGGCAACTGATTCGATATTAGGCACCCCCAGAAAGTAACAAACGTATCCCAGAAAAACGAAAGTATATATGTGACAAGAAAATCCCCCCTCTGAACTAATTGTCTGCAAAGACTGTGTGCATAACGAGGCGATTAAAAACCATGCTGTTATCCTGCCAAGCAATTAGGGCTGTAACTATTAGAAAACATTAGATGAATTATGTAATTTTCTTTAGAAATAACTAAAATCTTTGTCAGAACTCAGGTTGTAGGGGAACATATGTTCAGAGCAAGATACATTTGCTCAGGAGACACTTTAGAAACAGAACTAGCAGTTGTGCGAAAGACGCTGTCAGAAAATGGCTAGCCGCCAATGTTTAGCAATCGCAACTGGTCTAAAAGAATAAAGAAGGATGTTGCAGATAGAGTTGAAAAAAAGATTTTGATCATCAAACTTCCGTTCAAAGGAGATCCAGCAACTGAAAGGGTTGGTAGAGTCCTGAGTGCCGCAATCAAAAGAACGTTCAATGATGCCAAAATCAGATGTTTGTTCTTAACATCACTCGTCATCCTATGTCAAAACAACGATACGTTTCCTATGTTGACCTTTTCAGTGCTCTTCTTCTAATTATTGTGCACCTGTGGCTCCATTTATTTAGGTCGTACAGCAAGGCAGCTATCTAAGCGCATCAAGGAATATCAACCCACTTGGCATAAACACGGAGGAATTGGAGTTATTTCCAGCTCCACTGTTGCACATTTGGTCGAAACTGGACATAGAGTGGATACTAATTCGGCTTTCACTATCATTTATCGCGTCCCACAACGCAAATCCCAGGCTGTTCGAACTAAAACGCTAGCAACAGCCAAGACAATTATCACCCGCTTGTTGAAACCAGAATTGTGTGCTCAAAAAACGCTTGTTCAGGTAGTTAAACTTTCCAAGCCCAAAGCGGACAACTTATGCATGACCGTGGCGATGACCCAAATCAATTACCAACGCTTACGTTATGCTTTCATACCTGATCATGAGAACGAGTGACAAATGTGTCTCTACCTCACCCCTTTAATATAGTTATTTAATCTCGACTGTTTGACCCCAACGCAACACTTTCTTGTTATTTTCTCACATAAATGTGATTGTACTGGCTTGATAAAGAACTCACCGAAAACATGGTCGCCTACAACCTGTGTTCTGATTATGACCAGGGTTTATTCTGTGATTTGAAATCTTTGTACAGAAGGAAATTTTAGTTGGAATCTCTACTAATTCACACAAACAAAAGGGCTGCTTTGGCT